AGCACGCTGCCAGCACCGGTAACCTCTCCTATGCATTTGGCTACCCTGTCAAGAGCGTTCAGGACAAAAACGGCCTCGTCACCGTTACAGCAAGAGACGGGACAGTCTGGAAAGCAAAGTCTGTGATTTGCACGGTGCCCCTCAACGTACTCGCCGATGTTCAGTTTTCGCCGAGTCTTCCTGTTGAAAAGGTGGAGGCTTCAAAGATGGGCACAGCGAATCTGTGCAATAAAGTCCACATTGACGTCCAGGGATCCGATTATCTATCCTGGGGCTCTCTTGCCAGCCCGGGTAAAGGACTCGTATCGGCATTTGCGGATCAACTTACGCCGGCAGACAACACTCATCTCGTCTCGTTTGGGCCGGACCCGAAGTCATCTTTGGGGATAAAGCTGAACAACATCGACACAATCATTTCTGCTTTCAAACACCTGCTTCCGGCGGAAAAGCGAAACGAAGTTTTGGTGAACAGGATTGTAAGAACGAAATGAATTCATAGCGATATTTCAGACGGCTGACAGATAGCATAGGTCGCGCATGATTGGAACAACGACGAGTTTGCTAAAGGGACCTGGCTTTTCGCGCCTCCTAAGCTTACTACACAATATCTAGAGGCTCTACAACGCCCTCACGGTAATGTCTACTTCGCTAGTGCAGACTGGTCTCATGGGTGGCGAGGATGGATTGATGGGGCGGTCCAGAGCGGCATGGAAGTAGCTCGGGATGTGATCCAACATCAGAAGGTTGCGGGCAGCAATCTTGGTGGAAGGTCTCAAAACTCCCGTTCACAGTCGAAGCTTTAAGTGGCGCTCCCGTCGACGATTGAGTGACTTCAGTTACACCTGCAATATAGTTGGTCTCTGTTAGATAGTGATAAAGAAGAATTTCTAATTTGAATTTGAATATTTTCGTCCAAAAAGCATCAAACAGTAGAATGTAGCATGATGTAGATTCAGACTATGAAAGTACGTTAACAATAAAAGCAACCCATTTGACTGGTTCGCTAGAATTGACAGTATCGAAAGTCCAGTAATATTGGTCAATCCACTGGCTTGGACGATGTGGTACGGAATGCCTGCAGAGCATACTCTGAGAGGACTATTCAGGCGGAATTCGATTTTCACGTCTTTTCTCAAAGCTAGACCGTCTATATGAATACTGGTCTTGATATTTCTACACACTAGAAAGTTCAATTGAGAGACTGACTGGTTACAAAAATACTACAGAATGCAGGCAAGAAATTTCAGCCTAAATCGCAATTTCTACTTAATCGATCTCGAAATATGGTCAAATTTCATTTTCTCTTTGTGGTGGTAGAGTCTAAACACCAGACACGCAGACTTAGTAATAAAACTCATTCACATCGAGTTGAGCAAGTCCTGGTTGCGAGGCCGCAAATAGAACTCCACGCCTTCTTGTCGAACAAACCAAGAATTCTGTAGCGTCCATTCAGCGGTCGGATCAACCAAACTGACCTAACATTTTCATGTGTGAATTAGTCAGATATCCAGGACAAAGTGTTGATAGAAATATCTGAATGCCACTTCCACTTACATCGTACTTGAGAAAGAAGCTAGGTAGCATCTTGTAAATCTCTAGCAAGCTGATATTCTTGCCGATACAAGTCCTGTGTCCTTTTCCAAAGGTCAGATTATTCCCATTCATTGACTTCAAGCGCTCTGAATAGGTCTCGTCATGTTCGTCCATGTATGGTAACCATCTCTCTGGTCGGAAGATGGCTGCATCTTCCCCATACACTGATTGATCTCTATGCAAAACCCATGGCGATGCACCGACAATTGTGCCTGCAGGAAGGAGAGTACCGCACTCGAGTTGCAAACCTTCAGAGGGAACAATTCTTTCTAGTATCATTCCGACTGCCGGATGAAGCCGAAGAGATTCCTTGACCACGCTGTCGAAGTATGGCAGGGCTTGGCTCTCTCTCCACGTCGCAAGTTGGCTAAGACGGCCTTCAGCCTGGGCTTGAATGAGCTCTTCCATGAGCTTCGCGTAGACTCTTGGATGCTTGACAGTGTAATACACAATGGCTCTCAATGAAATCGCTGTCGTGTCAGATCCTGCAAAGATATTGGTCACCATGTATGAAAAGACTTGCTGGTCGTCGACCACTGCGGGATGCGTCTCCTTGGCTTGGAGGAAGCGGTCCACGAAGTCTCCATTACCAGGCGCCGCCCCTCCGCCTTCACTTCGTTTCATCTCTTGAAGCCTAACATAAAGTCTGTCCCTTGCGAAACTTGCGACTGGTCCTGTGGGAGAGGCGAACCAAGCCCAAACCGGATTCTTCTTCAGCACTTTATCAAGCCATGGGACCTGGCCCACGACGGCGTGATAATCCATCGAAGTACCGAGAGTGTGCATGATGCCTTCAATATCACGACCCTGTTCCACGAACCCAAGCGAAGTACTGCAGGTGACTTGCCCAATGACATCAAACGCGTAGAATTGGAGCCAGTCAAATAGTGGACAGCTCACTCCGGTGCTGGCAAAGCGCCGATCAAGTTGCTCGAATAAGCATTGAATCGTCCGATTAACGAGCGGCTCATAGCTCTGCAGGGTTGTCATGGAATAGGCACTGGCAATGGGGCGTTTGATTTTTGCATGAAAGTCCTCGTTGAGAGTTGTGAAAAGAGTTTGGGTTGGCTTTCCGTTGGCCATCTGTTGTTGCACGGCATAAAAAGGGCTCTAGCGTAGGTGCGATGTTAAGTCATTGCATTGAATGTAGATTATCACATGTGGGTGACTTGAAACATACTTTGACATAGTGGCTCTTGATTCCGTACACTTGGTTTACATCCTTTGGGTTCCTAATACTGACCACTCGAGGTCCGAACCTAACGTTGTCGCCATATTTTTGGTGAAGTTTTTCCAAAGATACTTGATTATCGCCCCTTGACACGTTAACGAGCCTGTACAAATTGCTAATTTTCGCCGGAAACGGCCCTGGGATTTTAGAAACACCAATAACGAAGTAGTTTAGAACTAAATGGAGAATGACGAGGGAAAGTATCGCCCATAGGAGGACGGATGGAGACACATTTAGAAGCATCGTGATGGGTTTGAATTAAAACTGAGTTAGTGTCAGCTATGAGATCCATGACTGTTTCTTATACCTTGAATTCCGTCCTAGAGGTTTAGAGCACCCTACGGGGAAAGGTTGGCGCTCGGGATCTCGGAAACATGGACAAGGTACAGTAGGGATCAACTTGCCCAGACGTCTGGGGACATCCCTTAACCCCGCTGTACATGGATTCATTGATGTAGCTTCATCCAATGACATCTATCTATTACAAAGAAGTGTTCACTACCCCGTTCACAACAGCCCACTAAATTAACTGCACTTGTTGTCAAGGTATCGAGTAGACATGCTGTAGTGGTAAGGTCGGAGGTTGGGATTCTTGGATTTTTCCGGTTCCTGTAAACGCGTCTATGTATTTCCTTCTACCTGCCAGCAACTCTTGTTGCAACAATAGACGAGGGAAAGACGCAAGCAACACATATATATGGTTTGGATGCGATGAGTAAAATACAGACATGAGCCAAAATCATATCCCGACTTGAATTCTGCATCATTCTTTGCCTCGCTAGCTCTGGCTTTGTGTAACACCTGGTTGATTCCATGATCGATATTACCAAGGCGGAGACGTAAGTCTGAACCGCGTGACCGAAATCCTTGAGTTCTAAAACAATCTAAGATCCCCATGATACCACCGAGCTTTCCCCGCAATCCACACTCTCCCCTCTTAACCAATGTTCTTGCTCAGAGTGAAAGTGACAGAGAGCATCCTAGTGACGAGTTCTGGTTGTAGGTCAGTCCTGGATATGATGCCGAGATTTGATTGGCCGTATTTTTCCGGATCGACTTGGCTGTTATCGGAAAACGCTCCCCGCTGACAAGGTTTATATGTTTAGTGTGTCAAGATACGTAATAGTGGTGGGCTAATGCAGCCTCATGACTTGAATATCGCTGTATCGGGGAGCCACAATCTCAGTCTCTGATGCGGGCATGTCTGTGGGGTCTTTAAGACGAAACAGCCAAGAACCTGGTATTGGCAGTAGACGCCGGGAGGTCACTACGTCCGCGTTGCAGAATGTTGATACAGCTAGTTGACGAAGCGAACGCTAGTTACTATCAAGTTGAAGAATCCCTCATCAGGCTTCAGAAGAGATGAGGAACGCAGACGCCAGGCCGGCGAATGAACCCCCTGTTGTTGGCCACAATAGAACCAAAGTCACATTAGCATGCGATGCCTGTCGCAAACGTCGGGTAGCTTGCGCCTCGCCCATACTTTCCACATATAATCCAAGCCCAGCTGATCTGACGTTGACCTAGGTGAAATGCACTGGCGCCCTACCGTGCTCATTCTGCTCGGCGAATGGAGAGGTTTGCATATATGATGAGAAGAGTCGAGGGAGGCGAGGGCCACGACCTCGCCGCCAGCCAGATAAGATTGTCCATAATATTGCTCCAGCTCCAAAGGCAGCAGAGACTTGCGCTGGCAAACCCAAAGTGCTCATAAACGACAGGAGAGAATCGACGCATTCAACAGTCGACAGACCGTTGAGCCTAAGTCCAACAGGGGGGCCGCCTTCAATTGCTAGAGGCTTTGAAGAGGTGGTGGAAGTAGCTGATGCTGCTGAAGATGAGCCTGATAGCACGGAGGGTGGCGCTCTAGACACCTCTGACTTGAAAAGCAGCCTGGAACAGATTCTTGTTGCTGGCACGAATCCGAGGTATTCACCCGCTCTTTCTCTTCGCTAATACTGAGGGTTTCAGTACCAAGCTAACGGGGAGAAGTTTGTCTCCGGACATGAATGTCGTGATTCATTTACTTGACCTCTTCTATCGCCGTTCTAACACCAATGTCAAAGAAGTGGTGCCGCCTGAGGCCGCTTTCTTTTACACGGTGAGAACAAAGACAGTGTTTTCTGGTCTCATATATGCCATGTGCGCTTGTGCAGTTCAATATTCAACTCACCCCATGGCTCGTGCAAATATCACTGGGGGACAGCCGAGCCTAGATGAAACCTTTTCGAAGCTGGCAAGGGCGTCGATATACGACTGGGCAGAGACTGATCGTCACCTGGATTATTTGAGAACATATTGCATTCTAATAGATTACGATGCAGCTAAATGCCACGGGAAACAAGCCTGGGCCAATATATGTAAGTATCCCGATACAGATCTGCGAAGCCTGGCGCTTAGACCGTTTTGCTAGCAATATCCAAGGCCTTGCTGCAGCTTTATCGCGCCCAAAGCCTGCCTCCGCTTGATGAAATCGGTGTCTTGGAGCGCATTGAGTTCTATCTTCAGATCAAGGAAGCAACACACTCATTAGGGCATGGTGCTTTGGAGTCCTGTGTCCTAAGCCAAACTGTTGCATGGGCATCTCACAATAGTGACTATACTCAAGTTGGGTCTGAGCAACGTCTCCTCGAGCTGCTACGGTTTTTCGTGCGAATTCACAACTACAACAATAAAGATAACTCCGAAACTCACGTTTTGCAGCCTTGGAAATCAGGTTCGGACTTCAGGACGCTGCACACGGAAATGGAGGAGTATACCGTGCATTTTCCGAGCACGCCATCTCTCGACGGGGATGACCCTAGCCAGGACGATATTGAGTATACAATCACGGAAGCGATGTGCTCCTTGGTGTGTCATTGTTGCGATATTGCGCTGAACCTGAGGTTCCTGCCCATTCCAGAGCCCAACAACGGCCAGGGGATAGGGTCTCTTTCAACTTGTGTCGAGTTCCCAGGGGCACCGCCTCTCTTCATTCTAGAGAGACGAAGCCGATGTGAGGCAAGCGCTGAAGCGATCTGCCGTATTGCTCAGGATGTTGTACAAGGCGGTGGCTTCTTCCACGTCAGTGTTGTTCCCTGAATCCGAGCTTGTGTCATTTCTTCTTGACTGATGTGTTGCAGTATACTGCTTTGCTAGGGTACTGCTCGGTGCATGCGATATTTGTGCTGCTCAATCAGTTGCATAGGCAACCCAAGCATCAACAACTTGGTAAAGTTGTAGGTAGCCTGAAGTTTGCCTTTACGTTATTAGCTGCCGTCCGACGGTTCTACGCTCCAGCCGCAAGCTGGGTAAGTCTATCCACTTGATTATTCTTATTCTTTCGACGATCTGACTCGGCGTTGCATAGCTGGAAATTGTTTTTCGTGCACATGATACTTCAACACCATTGACACACCACAGGAGCACAATTGGTGAAGCATTTCACTCCTACCTTGGCAGATATGTTGATGTCCCGGAACCATGCTTCGTGCCATTAATACCCAGTCCGGACCAAAGCGATATCACAGGATCAAAGGCCAAGGAGGCTCAAGCATCTCCCAATGCATCGGTAGGGAGGAGTGTTCTGGATCTCGGTGAGAGACAGAACGACGAGAGCCAGCAGCCGGCATGGGTTCAAAACTACGCTGGTCACCTTTCAGAGGATATCGAGGCGGAAGAGATCAGGCTGCTACGCGGAGAATCGCCTTCAAATGCAATCTCCCTGATTGGTTCATCGGGCGAGACAGCAGTGGGACAGGATGGAAGCGTCGACACAGCTCATGAACATGCCAAAGCTTTGGAGAAAATGCACGAGGCGTCAGGGATTAACTCGTTTGGCGAGTTTCCAGTGATAGGGCAAGGCTGGGTGGAGGCTGGGGGACCAGTTGAGTCGTGGTCTTCAGGGGTAGCTATAGGGGCGGACGCAGGGACATTGGCACCGGCCCAGCCTGCTTTTGCCGAGTTTCTTGCCATGGGAGGTGTGGACTTTGACCTGGATGCGGTCCTGGGCTCGGATCCAATCTTTGGTGACTTTTGGCCCGATATCATGCCGAGCTCTCCGTCATTCCTGTTTCCAGTTGGCGATAAGACTGGCCCACAATGACACGCAAACTAGAGATAGAGAGATAATACAGAGCATCTCCGTACGCGCTATCTCGCTGATCTAGACCAGATATTCATCTAAGGCGTATTGGCGGCGCAAAGAAGCCCCCAACTTAGCACAACCCCGCTCGCCAGAACTCGGTTACAAGCATCCCAGGGTTCCGAGATAGCAGGGGTTTAAAGCCAGGCAGGGGAGGCTTGTGCCTTAACAAGATTAGCGGTGCCAATATTGGTTGCAAGCCTAACAGTCGTGGCGACTCAGCTGCGTGTGACTACTCCTAGATCGGTGGTTCCCCGCTGCCGTCAGATAAGTGCATGGAAGGTAGTCTGGGGAAGTGCCTCGGCCAATGGCCATTTGATCGATCTTCACTCTTCATCCAATTTCTACACCCGTAAGAACAGAGCTGAAACAGTCAGTCCCCATATCATACCACTTCGCACCGCATCTCTAGCTTCGTCCCACGGTCTTGAGATAAAGGGCTTATCAATCCAACGAGTATGGAGCGACCTTTGAGAGTCCCAGAGCAGGAAAATGACGACGGAGCCTGTTGGGCATGTCTCAAGCACAACAGGGCTTGCGATCGCGCGCTTCCATGTAGGGCCCAAACATCACCCCTCGAGATCACGGCTACAGATTGATCTAACCCACTTCTTACGTTCAGGGTGCAACGTTTGCAGTGAACACGGCATCAAATGCACTGGCTACGAGGTCAGATTGTCGTGGCCAGACGACATCGTGGCCAAGAAGAGGCAGCGACCCGATCAAAGCCATCACCGACGACAGTCATCATCCAAATCTGCTCACCAATCTCCATCATCCACTACTAGCTCTACACATTCTAATAAGCGGGCGATGCCCTCCGTGATCTCCGCTTTGAACCTGCCCGCCGAGCAGAGCTTCTACATGCAACATTTCCTCCGTATGTGACACTATCCCGACCGGTCGTAGAAATGTCCTGACATCCGTGATCCCGCAGAGAACATCGCCAGAATTGCACTGGCAATAGACCACCAGGGAAACGGCTATCGATCATTGTTGCCCATGGCGCTTGCGGAGCCTGCGGTATTAAACGCAGCGCTGGCCGTTGCGGCATCGCATCACAGTCGCTGGCAACACACTGCCGATGATGTATCACGCAAATATCTCGGGCTGGCCTGCAAGGCGCTTCGGAATAGGTTCATTGAACCAAAACTAAGAAACAGCCCTGTCACGCTGGCTTCCATGCTACTGCTGGTATCATACGAGGTATGGGAAGCACTTCATGTTAACTCTGATCCCATGACTCTAACATCTCCGCCTAGGTGTTTTCTGGATCTTCGCGCTGGAAGGGTCATTACGATGCAATTCGGGGCTGGATACGAGGTCGACAAGGCAGCAAAGATCTAGACTCGTTTCTTATGAATTGGGTCTGCCTCATCGACACCCAGAGCGCGTTAAACCTCGGCACCTCCACGATGCCTGAACTTGATGAGTGGATGAGCGCGGCCCCAAATATCCTAGCCCTGGTGAAGCACGAGTATGTCATCGTGCGGACTTCCCTCATCGGGTCCATCCTCTCGAACCTGCTGCTCGTCATGGGCTGCTGCTTCTTCTTCGGCGGTCTGAGACGGCCGCAGCAGTACTTCAACGAGACGGCCGCCCAGACGGCAACGTCTCTCCTCGCCATCGCTGTTGCCGCCGTCATCATCCCCACAGTTTTCGACTACACCACGGACAACCCGGTCAAGGACATTGCCGGCCTCTCGCGCGGCACCTCTGTGATTCTGCTCGTCGTCTACAGCGCCTATCTCCTCTTCCAGCTCAAGACCCACAAGACCGTCTTCTCCGAGGAGAGCCAAAAGGTCGCCGCCAAACCCTGGAGCAGAAACTCCCTCGACTCCAACGCCGTGGGGCGAGGTATTGCGCTGCCCGGTGCTCTCATGAGTGAAGGGGTTTCTGATGGCAACGAAAACTCGGCCATCTTGAAGCAGGCTGGTGACGGCGGGGAGGAGGAGGAGGAGGAGGAGCCCCAGCTGCACTTCTTCGTCGCGCTCGGCACTCTCGTCATCTCCACGGTCATCATCGCCCTGTGCGCCGACTACATGGTGGACTCGATCGACTCGGTGACGGAGAACAGCAGTCTCAAGAAGGAATTCGTCGGTCTGATTCTCCTCCCGATCGTGGGCAACGCGGCCGAGCACGCCACAGCCGTCACCGTCGCCATCAAGGATAAGATGGATTTGGCAATCGGTGTCGCCGTCGGGTCCAGTATGCAGGTTGCGCTGCTCCTCTTCCCGCTCCTCATCATCATCGGCTGGGGTCTTGGACTGGATGAGATGAATCTCAGCTTCGACCTGTTTCAGGTGGCAGTGATGTTTGTCGCGGTGCTCCTGGTCAACTACCTCATCGCCGATGGCAAGAGCCATTGGCTGGAGGGCTTCTTGTTGATCTGCTTATATTCAATTATCGGCACCTGTGCTTTTTGTAAGTTCTCCCTCCTCCACCACCCGGTGTCCGAAAGTTCCATGCTGACCTCCCCTAGATTATCCCAACAAAGAAAATTCATCGGAATAGGATTTGCATTTGCAGTTTTGGATTTAGCATTTTGTATTATGACCATCAGACTTATGACCATTAGACTTAATAAATACCAGCTCATAGGGAGGAGCGTGTTACTTCATTTTGAAAGCAATGCTTGTCGCAGTCTCGCTCTAGGCGAAGCATCCGCAGCCACAGTTCTTGATTGAGTCGAAGATGGGTTCGAAGGAGTAGTTGTCGAGGAGTCTCGATCGCTTCTCGGGAAGAGACCTACGGCATTGTGTTTTGGGTCCTATGGCTCGCAGAACTTCTACCCGCGCCGTAAGCATGCAGGCAGTCCTCGGGTACGGATGTGCCATCGCTGAACCGGCGGGGCTTGTCGCATCCTGGATCTCATTTTGGGGATCTTACTGGGCTTAGAAAGGCCGTCGAGAGCGCAAGAAAGGGCGGGAAATGTGGCTCGTGTCCCTCTTAAAACAGGGTTTCGTAGAGGTATGATCCATCCATCAAAAAGAACTTCATCACCCTGCGCAATGATATCAGGCGAATCTCGGCTCCACGTCGAGACTCTCGTCAGATAGAGGCCTCAAAGAAGACTGTCGTAGAAACCTGGGGGCAGCCGGTCGTTCCTGATCATACCCTTCCGTTGTCACGCAATTTCCGGGTGATCAATAGAACCGCATATCTCCTCCACCACAGAACCGTGTGACTCTTTTATTCAAGTTGGCAATCGATTCGGCCCAGACTACCGGCAGAGCTTTCATATTGGACTACTCATGGCAAGATGTGACGCCGTGGAGTGGCGAATCGTCACACAAAGGGATACACCAACTGGCATTAGGTAATTGCAGCATCGTCTCCAGCAGAACAGGATACCCTAGACCTGGCACCGGATCGGATATAGCTTTGTCCGCCCCAACACAACACCCTTCCCTGTCCTCTCAACAAGTTGACATTGAATTAATGCAGATAAGATGAGTCCCCACTACAGACTGTGCGCGTGTTATGTTGCTGCGTCGCGCGACGGAGGCACAGCAGTCGCGCGACTGCACCTAGATCCATAATTTTAGGTGCCTCGGTAGCTTGTGGCGATGGTGCTCGACCCATCTTTAACTCTACTGGAAACATCTGGTGCCCGTGAGGGTGCCCGTGATGGCTCTTCCCATGCGCGGGTTCACCCGCCTACCCTATAGCATCCATCTTCACAATGTAAAAGATTTCTCATCAATTGGCAGCGAATCCCAGCCTCGATTCTCTTTATTGGTGTTGCGTACTTTTAAATTATGAATTAGCCCCTCATTACTTCTATTTGACCATAAGTTAGAGCCACTATATTATTCTTGACTCTTTGCATTCAGAGTACCATGTGGGTGCATGATCGTTCTTGGTCTGTATATTAGAGACAAACCAACATCAAACAATGAACAATGAACAACTAATACCGTCACTGAATGCTTTTTGCTCTTTAGGTCTTCATGATGATAACGAATTCGATTTCATTAGGACAGTTGACTTTTTCTACGTCGATGAAAAAAATAATTGCTGGCCTAAAGGAGTCAACCTACACCTTCTAAGGCCAATTAAATTTTAATAAACAGTTTCACTCTTTTGAAACAAGTACATTGAAGTAATGCATCAAATCTAACTTCTTGCCTAGGCATCTATCTGTATGACCTGTCTTGCGCCGCCCTCGGTTTCAATTGCACTCTTCAAGTCATGTAGATCCCTATCGAGCTGGCAGAATTACAGAAAATGGAAATTTCTCTTCGTTATGAGTAGCGATCACTGTAGTCCCGACCCAGCCGTCTGCCGTCAAGATGAGCGATTGCGATAACTCTGACCTAGCTGTCTCTGATCGCGAAGGCCTAGCTGTCGCTTGACAGGACGTCAATGTCAGTGCTGTAGCCTGACCTGGCTGTTTCTCGTCAAGTATGATGTCTTAGTCTTCCGTGTAGATAGGATGTAGTTGGAAGCTAATCTGGCTGTCGCATGGCAACACAAGTGATCACTGCATGTCTTACCCGGCTGTCTCTTGTTGAGAGAGCTGACCTGGCTGTCGCTTGATCAGACGAGCGACAGGTATTGATTTGGCTCAGCTGTGTTCACGAGATAAGCGATTGCTGCAGACCTGAAGTGGCCCTCGATTGACTAAGTAGCCCTACCGTAACGCTTATCTTTACCGAAGAGAGCCGGGTCAGCTTCACAGCAATCACGCGTCTTGGCAGGCAGCCAAGTCGGCTCGGCAGCTGTTGGCTGTCTTTGTAGCACACTGGGCGGTCTGGGCTGCAGCTGTCGCCCGTCTTGGCGGTAGACAGAGCGGTCAGAGTGATAGCACGCATTCATCTTGGCGGGAGACAGCCGGTGGCGGCCGGAGTTATAGCAATCACACCCATCTTACCTGACCCATTATGGGCGTCCCGATTGGGGAACCGTGGCCAGTTTGGGACGGTCGCGCGACACGGTTTTCTCGAGGGCGATATCGCGGACACGCCTGTATTTAAGTCAGAAACCTGCTTGCGACCTTGTTAAGCATAATTACGAGCTAAATATGGTCCTTTTCCGTGCAAAAGCGTGCAAAGGGAAAGGCTGGGCTCCTGATTGGGGAGCGGTATTACGTGGTGTGCCTATATATAAATTTCCGGTGTCTAAATATATCGCTGATATCCACCGCTGCTCACCTAATACCGGCTCTGACCAGGAACCCAGATATTGACCAGGGGGCCAGATGGCATGACCCCTGATTGAACCAGCAGTTCGGCCGACTCTTATACTCGCCCTATGGACTGAAGTCCTGCGATGGAAGGTTCCTGTGCTTCCTTCTCCTACAAAAATCACTGTTTCACCCTTTCTTTAGAAAGTTTTTGTCTCCATTTTTTTCTGTTTGTTTTCTTTTGTTTGTTTATCTTTTCCTTTTTCTATTCGATTCTTACCATCATGTCTAGCCAGTCCACTATGGACGTTGCCCAGCACCAGCTGTTCCTCGCGTCCTTCATCATTGGGCTGGGCGCGTACTGGGTTATTTTCCCTCTGGTAGAGAAACTAATGAAACTTGCCCAGCCAGAATGGTATGAGAAGCACAAGGCGGGAGAGCTCCGATACAAGGTGCTCTTCCCGGTTCTCGTTATGCTAATCCGCACTGTCAACGGCACCCTCGTTGTGCTGCCGGCGTGCGTTATGGCAGCTCGCGAGACGAAGTGGGAGCTCGGGCAGACTATGACGACGGCTGGCCACGTCTGTGTCATCTCGCAGGTTGTTCCCTGGGCTAGTGAGCTTCTCGTCTGGTACGAGACCTCGACCGAGCTCTACCTCCACCACGTTTTCTGCACCCTCCTCTACTTCAACACCGTAGCAATGCCTGGCCTCCATATGATCAAGCCGCTCTACGTTCATACGGCCACGCAGCTGGGCGACATCGGTCTTGCCGTCAACAAAGTCATGAGGAGTTTGGGCCACAGACAGCAAACTTCACGGGTTCTCTATCTTAACAAGCTCTTCCAGATGGGGACCGTCTTTACCATCAAGATCCCCTTCATGTTTTACGCTTTGGGCAAGATCGTCCTGACACCAAATGGCATGTGGGACCTGATCCGTGCCAGCGCTCTGCTGTTTCTCTGCGGCTACAGCATCCGGACGCAGATCGTGAGCTTCTACTACATGAGAGTCGGCGTCCAGCCTGCCAAGGGCCCAGTCGGTCTCCTGTTCCAGCGTTCAGGCGTCTTCATCTCTCGCTACAACCTCGCGCTGGCCGCGTCTGTAGCTGCCGCCATCGTCGTCAAGGTCTTGCTCTATGCAAACAACCTCAAGCATCCCATTACCGCAAATGAGCATACCCGAGTCTGGATTGAAAGCATCACGTCCGTCACCGCACTTTATCTGCTCATCAGCCTCAGCACGATGCTATGGAAGCGCTTCTTGAACGGTGAGCAGGTCCTGTCTGAGGGTTATCGGTCAGTCAAGAGGGGTGAGCTGTTCCTTCGTCTGGGTGCGTTTTTGACCGCAGTCATGATTCACGGCCGCAACACCGGCAATCTGATGGCAAGGACCGCGGGACTCTCCAGCCAAGCCCTGTCCACCGCTATTGTTTTCACATTCCTGGGGTGGGACCTCTACGTCCGCCTCGCCATCTGGATGTCTGTCGGGGAAGAAGCTAGAGGATTGGAGCAGGGAGACGAGTCCGCGGACGCCAAGGACGGGAAGACTACCTCCTCGCAGAAGCCGTCAAGAGCCGCTGCCGACCATGCCATCGCGGCACGCCAGTTACGCATGGTCTGGGTCGACATTGCTATCATCACGGCTGGCCTCTTCCTGCCTAATCACTTCACAACACTCGAGAAGAGCTACACTCTGTTCTTCACCCATGCGCTCGTTCAGGTCCTCGATGAGATGATGTCTCAGTACAGCAAAGGAGGCATTCGTGATATCATGGTTAGAGGCAGCCCTTACCGCCACTTCGCCTCTCTCAAGCTGGCCTTGGCTGTCGGACAAAACGTGCTTGCCTTTGCCGCCGTCTGTGGGGAATTGCGCAAGGAGCGGGAACAATGGATCCTCTGGGCGTCGCTGGCCGTTGCCCTCTTCTCCCGTATCTCCAGCTACATCGTCATCCCCTCCTCCAGGAGAGATGCAGGAGCAAAGTCGTCGACCCGGACTAGGGCTCCTCCTGGCCCGCCTACTCTGGCAAAGCGTCTGGCTCGTGTTTTCAAGACCATCTTCACCTCTCCAGAAGTCTACTCAGTCATGGTTGTTACAGCCATCGAGCTGTTCTCCCTCATGGAATTAATGAAGGGGCGTCAAGAGAAACCACAGACCACTGTCGGTTTCGAAAACATCAGGGCGGTCTTGGTAACCCCTATCGCGGTGGCCAGTAACCTTGTTGCCACGACACTTGTTATGACAAGCATCGTTCTTCCTTCTCCTTCTGCATAGAAGCCGCGCGCGCCTTTTACGTCTTTATGTCTTTACGGCCTTACGGGAGTCAGGGTGTTTCAAGAGGCATTCCGTCAATGTTGTCTCCAATCCAGACATGATTTTTCTTTTTTCACCCATTTTATGCTTCTCTACCCTCGCTACAAACTTTTCGACTCTGCTTCATGGCAATCAAACTTGCCCTACTATGTTATTTGCTTTACTTATTCTCCTTATCGTTCTCGTTATATCGTTATTTAGCACAATCATATCAGCGTTTATTTCACAAAAGTACACTGGCACCAAATTGAAATTAATACAATTCACTTGCAACTTAATCAACATCTTAATCACTTCATCCAAACCGTACCCAGTACCCATCCAATTAATCTCTTGGCTCGTCGACCCTTTGAAAGCCCTCCGATACCGCTTCTTGGCAGCGCCGCGGTGGACTTGCTCGAACTTGCTTCTCTAGGATATGATCTCTACTCTGCCAATGGGCATAAATTAAGGACGACAAGGCCGCCTCATGAATCTGCAGACCGAGTCGACACAATGGCGTCAAAGGGCGCTGCTCATTAACGGATTTCCCGAGTGAATCGAATATGTCACAAAAATAAAGAAGTTCATTAGATTTCTACTGAGTAATAGGTATAATTCGCTATAATAAAAGTTTTTCCACTTGATATCTCTTAATTTCCTTCAATTTCAACTTTCTATGAATGATGTTGTAAAAGCTCAAACAAATTCACCGCCGCAATGTGGCGTCGAAGTAGCACTTAGCGACAGGAATTAGGCAAAGACGTGTGATTGCACACAGCTCTGGGTCCGTTCCGGTTCTGAATGATTCATTTCAATTTATCAACTCCCCAAGGGAAATTATTCAATGTCCCCGTCAGCCAAGTGCGATGTCAGCCATATCAGAAATGTCAGTCCTAAGCATAAACAGGATATGCCTATCAGTGAGGATTCAACCACTGTCTACAGAAAGAGACGATTGCTAAAATCACGGAGCCTCGAGACTCCCTGTTCGGTAATCGGCGAGCTTTATACTAGCCAGCGACTTACAGAGAATTTAGCAGGAATGCATCTGTTATTTAGAGAAGCCTTATCCGTTTCAGTTAACTTGGAGTGGGATTGGCGTTATTCTCATCATCGGTGTGTCCCAGAGTCACACTATACATGTACACAGCCACATCTGTCGTGCATCGTATTTCTCATTTCAAGTACAAGATTTAGAGTCAAAGTAGTAACCACGCAAGTATAGATAATTCATGAAATAGACGAACACCCTGACCCAGCGAGGGTCGCTCACCGCCGAGCATTTCTATGTATCTAGCAACCTCTCAAAGAATAAACAACCATGGAGAATGTGACTGGAATTAGTGACCCAACGTGGATTGGATGCGATCTTCTTTGTCTTTTTTCGTGTCTTGGACTCTCTTTGACCGCTGATCCAAACTTGGATAGGCAGAACCCCCCCGCGACCCGTAAGCTGCTTAGCGGTCTGAAGCACTCGGTCTTCTAAGAGTTTGCGGTGGCGTTTGAATTTCCCCATGTACTGGTCGAAAGTCATGACAGCATCCAGGACTTGATCCCTCTCCAGGTCGTTCTCAGCAGCCTCAAAGGTAAGACTGAAAGTGCACGAAACAATCTGCGAAGCCTTGATATGTGATGCCTTAAGGTGAGGGATAAGCATCCAGTACTTGATCGAGAGTTTGCGATATCTTTCAAAGTAAAGGGCGGTATCATCTGGGGAGGCACAGAATGAACTGAAGCTGTGGAGAACTTTGGCAATGATGATCTGGAGTACCAAGACTTCGAGGAGGAACTGCGTGGCAGCGATAGACCTCAAATGGTATTTTTCCTTTAAAAAGAAGTCTTTGTCGGGGATAACTTCCATCAGTCCCTGCTTGGTGAAGCGTTTCTCAATTTGATCAATAGCCAGGGAAAAGCCTTGGTTCCAGAGCCGAATTTGCGCAAGGAGGTCTGAAGCCAGGACTTTCATGTTTTCAGGATCGGGGTCGTTATGAACTATTTTAACATGGGTCATGCAATCAGCCATCTTGCCGAATGTGCCTTGGATCAGAGCTTCCTCCGACGCTGATATTAGAGGCCCTTCGACCTTGATTTCTTCAGCGTCCATAGTCTTGGGTACCTCCTGACCGCCAAGTTTATCACACCAGCAAAACTGAATTTCATAATTAGATGAGCTAGGCAGGAAGCATGACAAAGGGTGAAGGAGTACTTACGAGACTTGAGCCTAGTTCACTTGCCAGCGAGGCGTCCAAATCATCATCCAGGCGGGGCGGCCCTCTCTGCACGATCAATTCTGACATGCCCTTTGCATGGGCAACCGAATCTAGCTTTACTGCATTGTCAAAGGATGTCCCGGCTCTCTGGAGGATCACCACTGTTGCCAATGTCTCAGGGCAGTACACTTGCTTGCTTCTCAAGGCTTGCCGCAGACTCTGCAGTGCCTTGCTATAGGAGCGTAGTGTCTCGACACTTGGTTTCATCAGGCAGCGGCGATCATCCAACTGCGAGCTGCACCAGAATGCCACACTATCAGACAAGCACTGGCTTTCTTGAAGGCGAGGTGGGACAAAGGAAAGTATACTAAGGTGAGCTGCATCTCCAAGATCCGTGGACGTGTTGAGCACAGAGACAAGACTGGCCGCGAGTTGGCTCAGTCTTGTTGTTGGGCTGGCACGAGGTGAGCCATTGCTTATTAAGACACCGCGCGACTTAGTAGGAAGCCGAGGTCTGATGGGTTTGTATTTCTTTGATTGGTGGTTGTGATTGTGGCATGATCTCTCCTCTGGTGGTAGCGAGTTTTCAACCCACGTCGAGGCTAGCAAGTTGGGAAAAGGCAGCTTTGTGTTGTTGAAGTTCTCATTGAATGGTTCCTGAGATCTGTATGCATAGGTTACAAGTGGTGATGGGCCAGGGCATGTTCGTTTGGAGTGTCGGCAGGCCGTGCAAGTTGGCCACTTCTCGTCGCACTGTCTTGGCGATCATACGACAATCATTAGCCTGTTGAGGTATTTTTCTCGGTTGGAAATAGAGACAAAGGAGCAATTGCATTTTTCATCAGCCAATATTGAGGTATTTCCTATCCAATTAATTACCTTGATTTTTTTGGCTTTGCAAACGGAGCAGCCTTTTGTTTTGGGGATTCCTGGCATCCGTGATGATATCGAGCGGGCAAGACAGGGGGAGGGACAGTCAGTAGGGCTGAGGGTGACTGCTACGTTGCTACGGTTTCAGCATCGGGCCAGTTCTGGCGGCACTGTGTCCCGTACAAGGTTGATCAAATCGAATGGAGGAATGAATACAAGGGAGGAAGATGTGCGGAGTAAAGCACAAACTGTGGACTGTGGATAATTACACCCAATCGGAGGCGAACCCCGAGCTTCAACCGAGGAAATCAGCTCAGCTTCTCCTCATTCACCTTGACAAATGATGCATCTTATTCATATCGGAAGATTGAATCCTCAACTCATTAAATCGATCATTCTCTGACAATGGAAGCCTTTCCTCTTGACGGATTTGATGGATACACATCCAAGACATTCGTCTTCAAGACGGATCCTGATGGCAATGCCATCCATACAGATGTGGTTTACCCTACTCAGGCGGTAGACACACCGAGCACTGTTCTCATCCATTACCACGGCGGATTCTTAGTAAGTACTGATTGTTGGGAAAGCGTCTTGTTGCAGGATCCTGGCTTACCGTAATGATCTAGGTGTTTGGTGACCGGTACAGCTTCCTCCCGTACTGGCTTGTCCATGCATCCGTCGCTCGTAACTGGATCTTTGTGACCCCGGAGTACCGCCTCATTCCAGAATCAACAGCCCATGCCTCAGTTGAGGACGCAGTGGATGCCTATAAATGGGTGAGATCCTCGCTGCCGGACCTGCTTGGACGCCCCGTTGGCTCGCTGCTGGTGGCTGGATCAAGTGCTGGTGGTTATCTTGCCCTGACCACCACAGCTATTGTGGCCGAGAAACCGGACGCTCTGTTGTTGGTGTATGGAATGCTCGACGCAGCTGGACCTACCTACACGACCCCCGGACCCAATATCTTTGGCATGCCCGCAATCGAGACAGGTCCAATCTTACGCGAATTCCCAATAACGAAAGAAGGCGACGACAGGAAGAAACTCTCCGCGTACAAAATGCCTCCCGATATCACCACCGATCCAAGATCTTCCCTCGTCTCAGCCCTTCATATCGAAGGAATTTTCGTAGACTATATGACAGGCGTGGCTGGACAGGGTCATGCTATTTCGAAACAAGGAGTGGAAGCCATTGCAGACAGAGATCGCCATCTCTTTCCCTTGACGTTTGCGAAGCTAGCCGGGATGCCAAGTACGTTCTTACTTCATGGAGTGAATGACTCAGGGGTCCCCATCTCGTGCAGTGAAAAGGCAGCCGAGAGGCTTCGAGCCGCGGGTGTCGAGGTAATAGAAGAATTCCCGGCAGATGCAGATCACGGCTTTGATACGAGAGTTGGCAATATAAATGTGGAGAGTGCAGAGGGCGATGGACTGATTGCCGTCGGGAGTCTTAGGAACGCTATTCAGTTCCTCAGCTCCTCAGTTGCAAAGTAGATAACTCAATAATTCCAAATTCCGAATCACACAGCGCGTTTCTCTCGTAGTGTTGAACTTGTTAGCTTAGGGTTAAGATGGGAAGGGGAATCGTTGTACCCTCTTGTCGTAATTAGGGTACTGATATACGCCTCATCTTCCTTTTCTAGATCCTAAGCATAGTAGGTAGCCATCTAAGACATGGATGAAGATGAGGATCCAATGTTTTATATATGTGGTTCATTTTGTGAGTCAATATCTTTACTAGAACTCTTTTATCGTGATAGCATTAAATCAGGTTTATGAGCTATCCCACTGATCTCTAGCTAGAGACATGATACGACTCGCTCAGGCCTACGATTAGGCATCAGGGTTGCCGTTGTAGATCAGCTTATTAACAGTGCCGGCAGGGATATTCTTGACGGCATCGTTTTGAGCATAGCTCTTTAGGAGGTCACAGAGAGCTGAAGCACCTGGCCAGCCTTGAAGGCTTGCAAAATAAGCGGCGAGACCCGCTGCATGAGGGGAGGCCATAGAAGTGCCAGACATAGAAGCCTAATAAAAGATTTAGTCCCGGATCTCTTTATATATAGGGAGATAAAGTACACAAGACTTACAGTTTTTCCACCTGGAGCGAGGGAGTCAATACCATCGCCAGGAGCAAAAACATCAACTACTGCCCCAAAGTTGGAATAATATGAGAGTTGGTCAGTAATGCCCGAGGCTCCGATCGTGCACACGGTGGGCTCTGACGCTGGTGATTGAGTGGAGGCATCCGAGGCATTGTTTCCTGCAGACACCGCAAGGAAGATATCATTGGTAGTAAGCGCTGCTGCAGCTGCGTTGAGAGCAACAGAGACGGTGTCACGCAGAGACATATTAGCAACCACACCCTTAGGGCAGTTACGCTTGGGAGCATCGGCAACAACAAAATCTAGGCCCTTGATCATACTAGAAGTAGTTCCACTACCACTGTTATCGATAACCTTGACAGCATAGAGCAGCGTTTTCTTTGCTACACCATAGGTTTTGGAGCCAATAGTGCCAGCAACATGGGTACCGTGGCCGTGACCATCAGTGTCAAATGTATCTGCAAAGTTGGCAGCAAATGTAGCACGGCCTTCAAAGTCCTGTGGAAAACTTGCATTAGCTAGAGAGCCCGAAGCTTGGTTCAATGACGTACTGGGTGCGTGACATCTATTCCAGTGTCAATAACATAAGCACATGTGCCATCGCCGGCACTATCATCGTATCGATAAGTCGGAACAGAGCCCCGAACCCGGTGAGAAATTCGGCGAAGACCCCAGGTAGGACTATCCTGGTCGACATAGGCATCGATACCGGCAACGGAATCCTCTTCAATGTATTCAACCTGTCTAATGTGTGAGATAATAATAAGATCTTTCATGGGTATAAACTCACATCAGGGTGGTTACGGAGAGCCTCTAGAGTCTCCTGGCTAAGCTCTCCAGAGAAGCCTTTGAATACATGCTCAAAAGTATGCTCGGGGGTAACGGCGAGAGTACTCAGGATGCTCTCAGCTCTGGTAAGCACGCTGGTGTCCTTGAACTTGACAATATACTTGTTGGTAAGAACGTCAATTTGATCCCTGCGCTGTAGCAAAGGAGCAGACTTAGAAGGCTGAGTTGGGGAACATAATGCTGTTGGAAGGAGAGCGAGAAGAAGTGAAGCACGCATCTTGACAAGATTCCTAATGGGAGATTTCTAGGTACAACTGCTTAATCTCAACATAACTAGACAAGCTTGACTCGGTTGGCCTGGGCAGAGCCCTTATATTTCTAAAATCTCTGGCTAAGCCACCCTTGTAAATACTTCTCCAACACAAGGGCCTTGAGTTGCTACTTCCAGTTGCGGAAGGTCTCTTGTACGCTTGGCAGCTTGTTGCATAAGCATACCAGGCATCTCCTTCCCAATAAATCCTGACCACGTGCATCCTACACTATCAGTAAGCTTTTTTTTTTTTGCGTATTTGAAGCGGAATTAGAGACCTTCGCCGAAAGGAATTCCCTTACACGGCGTGATCTTTCTTGTTACTGGAAACGCGATGTTATTGCCCTCAACTGGTTGTAGTATAACCGGGAAATAACGGTGTGGTCTACATGGGAGAGCATCCTATCACTCGTATCAGACCCAATCGGAAACCAAAGACGGAAGCCCAATTTTTAATAGGAATTAAGACGCTTTTTCGTCTCTTTTATAATTGGTTATACTACGATGGCACATGATTATCCCTACTACTAGGCCAAGACACTTGCATAATACAACGATTGTGGCGGATGTGATGTGTCAAATTGTCGGAACCAGAGCGAGAGCTTCCATTGCCAATCTTCAAGATTGGTGGGATCTACGGAGGTCCGAAGCGCGCGGTAAAGGTATCTGCAGTCCCAAGCAGGAATCGTCCCATGAATGAAAGTGGACTGCGGGTGCCCTTCCAAAGCGTTCGAGTTCTGAGCGTAATATCTGGCTGGGATGTGATGGGCCATAGGCACAGAGGGATAAGGTGAATCAGCTTCCGTTCAGTCTTTCTTAACGAACTGGCGCAGTTTTTTTCTCTCTCAAGAGCAGAGAAGAGGATGAGAATGGATACTAGATGATGCTAGCAAAGGTGAAGTACATGCTCTCGAATAATCTATTATAGTGCAAAGAGAGACAATCACTCCAAAGGTAGGACTTGTAGAAGAGTTTTAGTGAAACCCGTCTGAAGATGTGGTTGATGCTGAGCTCATTAATAATAATAGCATCCTTTCGTCCACAAGCAAATCCGGTATGGTGTAGTGGCTAACATCGCTCGCTCTCACCGAGCAGCCCTGGGTTCGATTCCCAGTACCGGAGAACTTCCTTTTTGCATCCATTGGGCGCGGTGGCGAAGCAATCCAACTTTTTAATCCAAAGGATCCAAAGTGTCAAATTTCTCGTTGGCGAGAAATAGAATTAAATTGACCACCTGCATAAAATAGTCCACTGCTGCCACATCAATGCAGCTCTGCGTTTAAATCTGCTGAAAGAATCATCTGCCGAAATGCTCAGAATCCCTTGATCTGTTGATGGTTTACAGCAAAGGAGCCGTTCGGCTTGGGAATGCCTGCATTTGGAACAAAGTCCACCGCTAGGGAGGCGGATGGAGAAGGGCTAGAGAGCCTGCTCATATGCACCACGCTCCCCCACCTAGTCGTCTCTTGAACATCGAGGATGGCGAATCCTTGTCTCTCCCAGAAACGAATGGCCCCTGGGAGATGGGGATGAGTGTGCAGATAAAGCCGTCCAATGCCCGCCTCATGCGCATGTCGCATCAATTCAGCAAACAGCCTGGAGGCCAGGCCGGCACGACGCCACGAGGGATTGACGTACAGTCGCACCACCTCCACCACGCGCTCGTGGCCCAAATCTAGCTGCGGGAAACGAGGGTCGTAGGCTAAATAACCAATTGCGGCTACAATCTGGCCGTCTTCGCCGTGGGCTGTCAAGAAGCACCCATCGGGGTGTTCAATGTACGTCTCCTGGAAGCGGGCGAGATCCGGGATGACGGCCTGGTCCTGGCCAGGGAAGATTTTAGCCCGTGAGGCCATGACATAGTTGACGATCTCTGGGATCTGGCTGCGTGTGGCACGGCGAATGATGATCACCATTGTGGGGGCTGTGGTGCAAGTCAGGCTCATGGGGGGAGATTTGAGATTTGTCAAAAGAGCGTCTTCCAAAAGACGAAGAAGACAGGTTGAGCGGTGGATGAATTGACCTCTTGCCGCTACGTAGCAGCTCCCTTGTTTGACTCACACCCGTGAGTACATGCTGTTGACCGCCAGAGACCGATCATCCAGACCCGTTTTATCTTATCAATCTGGATCATTAAGCGATGCCTAAAAAGAAAAACAGGGGGCAAGGAACAAGACCTCACGAAGTCCTGTACCATCCGTCGAGCATCTTTGTTACGCGTCCCTCAACTTACAGTATTACTTGGTGGCCATTGGGCTGTTGTGACATAAGGTATTGAAAAGAAGACTGAATGCCTAGGACAAACATCTAATATCTACTAATTGGTCTACTACAACGATTTATTCGTTACGTAGAGCTCACGAATGGTGATGAAATCAAAGTGGTGGGTATTTACATTTAGCCCCTAGACTTTAAACAAACAAACATCAATCTTGCCTCTTTTCTCACTGGACTAGACCCACAACGAGAAATTTCGTGTGGGGAGAAAGAGAAAACGTTCATGCTGTTGGCAGATTATTGGCCAGAGAGGTTCCGCTACGCGATCCAGGATACGAGACGTATTGGCGAATACGAACACCGTTAAGAGATCACAAGGAGGGCTCATTCATGAATGATCCAAGATGTCCAGCGACGGTAAGAGTAGCCAAAATTGGAATGAGATGCAAGTGAAAACATTATACTTCGATGTATCTTACTTTCCAGGGACCCCGTCAAACTTCCTGCCACCATGGTTTGAGGCGATGACACCATTTACACCGTGTTCCACGACAGCGAACATGTTATCAACGCTGTATATTTCCTTGACCCAAATCTGCAGTTTTGTACAGCCGCGGGAGCTATGCTGGGTAACAGGGGACATCACGACACTAGAGCTTGCTGATGATACTCAAATCATGATAAAATGGAATGAAGACTTGGCTACAGCGTGAATCTATCTCTGATCTTAATTGAAACTTTAGTAGACTTGAGATGTAATTAATAACCACACCTTCGGATCCAAAACGGCGTAGCGTCTCGGGTGTCTAATGGTTTCGTTCCCAGAGCTCCCGGAAAACACTGAGCGGGTTTCCCAATAGTTCTTTAGGTGAGCCTGCCTCCACCACGCATCCTTTGTCTAGCACAATAATCTTATCGAAATTTCGGATTGTATGCAGGTGGTGGGCGATGGCAACGACAGTTCTATCGTGGAATGTCCTCTCCACTACTTCCATCATCTTGGCTTCGGTAATTGCGTCGACGCTGGACGTAATCTCGTCGAGAAGCACAACCTTGGACGAGCTGAGAATGACACGAGTGAGACAGAAGAGTTGCTGTTGCCCATGGGACAGAGCCATGGCCTCCATATTGGCGCTCAAGCCTCCCCGCGCGAGGATGATGTCGAGTATTCCCACCTCATTCAATGCAGAAAAGATCGCCTCATCGGGGTGTTCGTTCAGTGGGTCGACGTTCGAGCGGACGGAACCTGGGAGGAAGAGTGCCTCTTGAGGCATTGTGATGATGCGACGGCGCGCTACATTGCGTGGCATAGATTTTACTGATATGCCATCAATCAGGATGTCTCCGCTCTGGAGCTCTGCCATCCTCAGCATCGACAGAAGAAATGTGCTCTTGCCACTAGAACTTGTGTCAGGGAATTATGCACATGATCAAGGGGCGTCTCATGCCTCACCTTCCTGTTCGCCCGCATACACCAACCTTGCTTCCCGGCTCGATGTCCAAGCAGATATTCTTTAGGATGGGCTCAGAATCCGGCCTGTTTGCAAATTAGTTACATCAATCGCATATCGATATCAATTTAGCATTTCAAACCTACATATAGCTTGACGACAGGTTTTCGATCTGGATCATCCCTTGGAATGGCCACTGTGCAGGGGGATCAGTTCTTTCCCCTGGCAAGCGTTCCGAGGGGCTCTCGTTTTCAAAGGCCCGTATGCGCGATATCGCGCCCAAAGAAGTCTCTAGTTCTGTCCAAGTCTGAATCAGCTCGACAAGATCCGAGCTGAACCTAAGAATGTTTAACAGAGCGACACCGAGCGCTCCGGCCGACGAGTCATTGAGTTGAGTTGCGAGAGCCACGATCATAGTGGCGACTGCCGCGACAAGTAAATCCAGGACGAGATTCAGCCATCTCTGGATACTGTACATGAGGTAGAATGGCCTTTGCGATTTATCAAGAAGGGTTGCGCTCTTTGCGCTGGACGCATGCTGCCAGCCGAATGCCCTGATCGTGACCACTCCCTGCAGGGTCTGGATGAAGTCTGAGTAGAGAGGCGATTTTGCTTCCAAATCTAAAAGACGTAATTGTCGAGATGTCATGAGGTAAAATCTCTGTAGGAAGTAGAGAACCACGATGAGCGGCGGGTATATGGTCATCGACCATTTAGATGCCAGTGTGATGAGAATCAGACCCAGGACACAGAAACTGAAATTCAAGATGGTATCTTCCAAGGCAAATGGTAGCTGCAGGCAGATGAGGGACATGTCCTGGCTGAAACGATTCACCAGGTTCCCAGTGTCTGTAGAGACAAGGAACCAGTAAGGCGCTCTCATCACCGTATCGACGAGCCTCTGATGCAAACCGATGGATGTATGCGGCATTGCGTAGTGCAGAAGGCTGACAAGTCCCATTGCCGTTGATATAATAGCCAGGGCGCAAATCAGACCCCATACTCCAATATACATGTTTGTCTGCTTTCCTGGATTGGTTTGTTCCGATTCAGACCACCATTGGACCCAAAGTGTGGTCAACTTTATAAATACAGCCATTAAGACAACACTTCCAAGTGCAATGGATGAGGTAGCCCAACCTATGGCCTTGAAGTAGTAGAGATATAATCGGAAGTCGCCGGTCCGACGAGAAAGTTCGGATTCCATATCACGATTCACCGGCTCTCCTTGGGGTTCATGCTGGATCTGGAGTGTAATCGGCTCTTCTATGAGGGAAGATGTTTTACTGCCGAGACCTCCAGGGCTGATGATATCGTCATCTGCAGAATGTTCGATAGCGTTGATCTCACTGGGCGCGCCTTGCTCAATAATGGACCCTCCTTGGGCCATGATTATCACATGGTCCGCTCGGCGAACATGGCGAACTAACATTCAGTCAGCAGGTGGCTCCAGAACTTCTTAGACACTAAAGAGACTAAACCACTTACTTGAATGTGTGGCCAGCAAAGCAGTCATTGAATGCTTACGAAGGAAGCCCCCATTGCCAAACACATTATTCACAAGGCTTTGCTCGGTTTTTGGGTCGAGGCCTCCCAGGATGTCGTCAAGAACCAGAAGTTGTTTGCGAGAATACAGTGCTCTTGCAAGGCTCAGTCTTTGCTTCTGCCCACCACTTAGACTGAGTCCTTTGCTACCAATCACCTGCTGATCTCCTTGAGGTAGCTCTTGTAAGTCGCGACGCAGTAAGCACACATCGAGAACCGACGAGTAGAGATCTTCGTCCCATGGTGAGTGCGCAACAATGAGTTTCTTGATAGTCAAGTTGGGTAGCCATGGATCTTGAGAACAATAGCCAATCTCTAGAGAAGGCGAACGGGAGACAGTTCCTCTAATATGCCGGAGTTCGTTTATAATTGCCAAAAGAAGAAGACTCTTTCCGCAACCGATAGGCCCTGCCAAAACAGTCCACGTGCCGGATGTGATGGAAAGAGTGATATTGCGGAGAATTGGGGTAGTTGTTGCCGGCAATATGAAATCCGCCTTGTCGATAGAGAGGAGAGGCACCCCGTTCGCGCTTCTTCCCCTTGAGACAGCCAGCCCTTGAAGTTCTATCTTGTCTGTATGGCTATCCAACACACTCTGGTCGCCAGACTCTATCTCAGGAATTATCTGAGACATCAAAAGATATTTTTGAATCCGTTGAAGGCACCCAAGAGCAGCAGCAACTTTGGGGATTCCCTTGACAAAATATCTGATCGGAGTGGCCAGAAGACTGACAAGGGACAATGTCGTGAATGCCACCACAGGGCTCAAATTTATATCGTTCTTGGCTCGCATCATCAATACGTAGGTGGTGAGGGTGAAGAATGGGATGAGAGCCAAGGACGCGGTAGCAATCAGGAGAGAAACAGTGAGAATAGTTCGGAACTTGCTTGCTACTTTGATCTCGCTGACGCGTAGATTTTGTAGCAGTTTGCCTACATTGTCTGTCAATCCCATCATTTTGATGGGCTTGATGTTTGAGAGAACCATGGATGTTATGGCTACTCTTCGTTGTGTAGCTTCCAACCACGACTTTTGTGACGTTGTAGAAATCTTCCGAATGGCGACGGATATGAGGACAACAACTGATATCCCAGATGTCAGTTATGGAATAACCAGGATAAAGAAGACTTACCTATTGCAATGACTACTGGAGTGATAGCAGCCAGACCGACCTGTTGGTAAAGAAGGTAGATGGAAATGGCAATTTCGATAGGAGAAGCCCAGACTGCATCCATCTCTTCCACACCAGTCGCCATACAATCAATATCGGTGCTCATGAGCGTGATTGCGGCAGAATCCTTGGCAGCGTGAGAGTCGATACGAAGAGTCGTTTCATAAATCAGCCCGATAAGACTGCCCCTCAGCATTATGATAAGTCGATACAGATTATGTTTGAAAAGGCCCGTGGTCACCGCGATGCCGATATAGATGAGCAAAGTGGCGCCGATCAGCGCATACCCAACATTCTTTCTGCTGGGGCTGTCTTCGGGCTCAAGCAAGAGCGAAAGAGCCCTGTGGATCAAGAGAGGTTGGCAAAAGTTGAAGGCGATGAGGCACAGCCGGTAGAAGACAATGTAAGAGATCTGTTTCCAGAAGCACCGGAATACAGTCTCGATTAGGGCTTTGGTTGAAGGATTCCTTCTGACGCTGGAGTACCATGACTGCCGGAATTTGGCGTGCAGGTGGTCGAAACTCAGTTCCTGGTCGAGTTCATACAGATCCTCTAGTTGAAGACTTGACGACCGACCTTTGAGCAGGAGAGAGTTGATCCACCAGAACACGCTTCTATTTATAACGCCGCCCAAAGCCTCTGGCGGATAATTTGCATAGGGTTCTCTGAGTATCTTCCTTTTCTCTCTCATCTCTGCAAAGAGGGCCAAGGCCTTGCATACGAGTCCCATTGTAAAAACAGCAGCCAGCGCACGATCATGTCTGAGCCAGAGTGTCCGAGCTTGAGCAATATCGAACAAGGTGGAGAAAGCTAGATAAGCGTTCAGAATCCCAGATGGTCGAACGGCCCTGCTGTGATGGATGAATGAGAGAGTCGCCAGAGCCAAGCCTGCTGTCATGGACAATGCTGAGGCCGCAACGGAAATTCTAGTCGCATTACTGGACGACGACCAAAGCGCTACAAGCACAAGCTGTGTAATAATAAAACAAGCGAGGGGGATCTAATTGCATGGAATGAGGTCAATTATGGCAAACTGGTTTTAATAAAAAGCAAAGGAGAGAAAAATTGAGAGAACTGGGGAGCTCCTACTTGCTTGAGAATTGGCTTATTTGAGCCTGATGAGGCTGACTTGGTTTTGACGCTCTGCTTATAGAGGAGTGCGATGCGATGGATGCACACCAGTGTGGCAATGGCGGTTAAGGGAGTCGAAAGTATAGCTTGCTCAAAGAGTAGAGTAAAATCAAAGTCATCTCTGCAACCAATCACCCGGGGACCGAACTTATCGTCCGCTCCCAGCTCGCAAGTCGACATCTTTCGCCTTTGTAGACTCACTCCACTAGACCAAGCGGAGTGATTTTATTGAAAGCTTGCGACTGCCAGGATTTGTCTCAGAGCAGACTCAATTGGAAATAATGGAACATAGAGGTGGCTTGTAATCATTCGTTAAGTTGACAGGTAGAGAGACTCCGTGATAGACGCCATGAGCGAAAACTAGAATCAAGCGATGAGGGGTTGAGTGACTCATAGATAGTAAATGATGGAGGAATCCCTCTTGTCGACCGGGTACAAAAGCCTTTAGTACGATTAGTACGCGTAAATTCACTGGGATCGTCCCCCTGCACATGCAGATCAGAGTGTTGGGTCCAGGTAGCGATGCTACATTGTGCTTACAACGAAATCATGGTCGCGGTTCCCCGTTTAGGCTATTTTCGGCGCTTTTTGCAACGCACTTATCGCTTGACATCTTGAATTCATACTGGATAGCTTTCATGGCTGCTGCAGGAACTCAGCTACAAACAATGCGGAGCTTAGACGGTTGCTTCGAGGACCGAGAAGATATGCTAAGAGCAACCGATAACGCACTACTCCGAGACACGGATTTCTCATCCATCACGCAATCACCCTAGCTTCTGTCCTCATTTCACGGACAGAACTTTGGAGGAACTTGGAAATCCGAGTGCTAAAATCAGTCTTGGAACTAATTACATGTGGCTTGACTATTGCTCTCGGAAGACTCGGGAGATTGGGCAATGTGTTTGTTGCATCAAGCACTGCGTTGTATATAGCCTTGATCTAATGGCAGGGAATGAATGAAGATTCTACTCTGCTGAGACACGCCCACGATCATCTTAGTCAGAAGTCATCCTCTAAGCAGGGTTTTTCGAACAGGGTCTGGGGCATCCATATTAGGTGTAGTCCGCCCTTACAGAAACGATAAAACCGGGGATTAAAGAAATACTAAAGATTGTGAGATCTTCAGATTATAAGTACGAGTGTTGTTTAGTACAAAAAGCAATAGTTGAACGTTGGCTGGTGATCACAATTCCTGTCGTAACACTCCCACCGTAAGCATAGAGACAAATTAGGATATTAAGTTAGGATATTGTGCAATATTATATTTTCGTCAGTGGAATCTAGCTATTGCAACCTATTTATCCAACCCTCGATAGTTTTACCGGGATATATCACCCAAACTATGAAGCGTTGATGTCCAGACAAAACAAGGCGTAGGTGTATAGGGTAGGCTGTGGGATGGTCACGTGAGACTGCTGTTTTGCTGAGGGCGAATGACCCCACTTGCACTTGCTCTCTCTCCATCCCTCCCACGTCTCGGGTCATTATTTCGACGGGCCTTTTTATCCACCTTGCTTCGAATGAGACTTGGAACAATGGCGTCGTTTGCTCTATGCTTGAAGCCCCGTCCTTGCTAGCACCCTCGTCTATGATGTAGATATTATCTCCCCGACCTCTGAACCGGTTCTTTGCCGCGGCTATCCGTGAGACAGCACCAAGTTGCCACCAACGGCCCCAAACCCCAACCATCCATGACGACAGCCCTTGTCAGGACTCAAGAACCATGGCCCACCCCCAGTCCGTCGACGGTTTTCTTGCGGGGAACCGTATCGGCGCCTGGATCCTCCCCAGACCGTCAGATCCCGCGACGAGCGATGACCTTCTTGACGGCCGTGTCCTTGGCCGTCTGGGCTCCACGGAGGTCGCAAGGCGAGAGCGGGCCCGTCGGCCCAAGGTTCGCACTGGCTGTGTCACATGCAAAGCCAGGCGAGTCAAGTGTGATGAGCGTAAGCCCACATGTGTCCGCTGTGAAAGCGCCAGAGTTGCTTGTCAAGGCTACGTCGAGGCCATTGACCGGCGCAGAAAGAGTGTCGTCGCTTGGCCTGCGGCTACACGGCCTCTCGCGCCTCGATCCCACACGCCCGAAATGCAAGAGATAATCGTGACTGCCATTCCGCCCAGCATATCGACACTCCCCCTGGCTGGTCATCAGGACGGGGCGTACTTTGATTACTTCCGGCATCAGGTCACGTCCAACCTGGCTGGATTTTATACGTGCCCAGTCTGGTCACAGCTCGTCAGCGAAGGCCTCCATGACGATTGTATTCAGCATTCGATACTCGCGGTAGGGGCGCTGATTCGAGCTGTGAGCACCCAAAAGTGCATCATCCCTGACACTTCATCCCTAAACACGACCGAAGAAGATACTTATGCAATTACTCAACACCGCAACATAGCCCTGCGGCATCACTTAAAGGCTGTGAAGTCTTTGCGAGAGAGAATAGAGGTTATGGCCACGACAGCTCCCAGGACCGTCGTAGTGTCGACTCTTCTACTTGTTGTCTTCGAGTTGGTACAAGGCCAGGCCAAGATAGCAGAGACGCTTCTTGATTCTTCACTGCGTATTCTGAAAGACCTAATTACCATCTTTCAAACGAGGACTGAGGAGCAAGCCAGATGTGTCAGAGATTCCGGATTTCAGGATATGGAACATGTCCTGCCCTGCATTTCCGTCATGAGCCACCTCTCAAATATCTCTCGACCCCAACATCAATTTCCAACTTTCTTCAGGGTTGAACCTGAGCTTCGTTCTGATGACCCCGATTGTAGTAGCATTTCAGAATTCTTTCGTTCTTGGGGTAGATTCTTTACCTCTAGTAGCATCTTTGTGGGCCACTCCGCTTCCACCGTGACCTCAACCAACCCACCGGACGACATCGCTCTCATGCGCCAGGAAATTCTTCTCTCTCAGCTGCAGAGATGGAAGGATGTCATGGTCCACTATGCAAGGAGTCCCCTGGTGGATGATGCTTCGAAAAAGGCGTTGCGCATTGCGCAAATCCACCGGCTGCTGCTTCACATATCGCTTGCGTGCTGTCTAGATGCAACGCAAGTTGCCTATGATGCATTCAAAGAGGAATTCAGAGAACTGACGATGAAATGCATCGGCTTGTTTCGAGACTCCTTGTCTCATCCGAGGCCAACTTCGGTTCTACTCGGACAAGGTCTCATTTTACCGCTATGCACGGTTGTTCGTGCATGTCGCGACCATGATATTCGAATGATGGCTGTCGAGGCGCTCAATGAACTACCTCGGTCCATGGTCCCGTGGGATATCATTTCTACCATGGATGGGATTTTGGGAGCGGCCCTGCTCGAAGAGATTGGCCGAGATAAGGACGCCTCCGTGCCGCCCCAGGCGAGGTGGTTTTGGCTGCGGGACGAAGATGCGCCAGCGGAAGGGACGGAGAAATGCGGAAAGATTTATCAATGCGTTATGCTCCGCGAGGATGGGCAACAAAAGTACGCGCGTCTTTCGCCGCTCGATAATGTACGACGGGAGATATGTAATGTTCGGCGATGCGCAGGAATACACAGTTTGGATGCCAGTGACGGGCTTTACGCCTAGCATCTTTATGGATGATTGCGTCCTGGATTTCTGGGAAGAGGTCCGCATTGCACTTTACTGTTGCCTGCATGTTGGTTGGAGTATACATGATCGCCAATGCCTGATATGAACCCTCCCAAAATGAGATTGGATATTTCGTAGTAGATGCGGCGAGGCTGTGGCAGTTTCTGTATCCCCGATCTATATATTTTCACATCTTCTACTTCACGACACGGGTGACGGAGATTGTTGTCAAGCTCTTGATGAGTACATGTATGATTTCCGTTTCCCGCTGGATCATCGACGCCAAACCAAGCCAGTGGTTGTGATGCTCTCGTAAACGTTGGCCAATTATCGTTCAGGAGCAATTAGTACGAGGCTAATGCAAGCTTAGACCATCTGACAGTGCCCCCTGCAGCAGGATCACGCATGCTCATTGGTGTCGTATATTCAGGCCAATGGGCGCTCGAAGGTTAGTCACCTAAAATGCCCCCTCAGCCCTTCCGAAGGGGAAATCTAAGATACTTTATCGAAATCGATCTCTTATCGCGATGTTGTTTGACGGACATTGGCGCAGTCACGGGGTGCTCCGACATTGGATCTGGATCATGTTACCCACCAAGACTGATACCGCGCCCAATGAGACTGATCCTGGAGGCCGAAAGGATCACTTCTGTTTGTCTCCATCTCGCCCCCTCCCGAGCAAGCTTAGTCTTACAGATTAATCATCCTCTGGTGGAAAAACATAAAAACTCACCATCCTCACTGCTCCAGAGTCTTTGCTTGACCTATTCCCCTGACCTGCTACGGAATACCCAACATCCTCTCTAACTGTATCAAAATCATTGTTGCCTTTTGAAAACAACCCACCATGAGCACCGATAGCGTCCCCATCGCCCAACCAGTGGTGTTGTCACTGGAGGATCTCAGGACAGGTAGAATGGCGACAATTTAGCATGGTTTGACCTAGTACTGATATAGATGCTTAGGGAACGTGCCTTTCGAGAAGCTGGTCGAGGCATTTGGCCCCAACTCTCTTGGAATATTGGTTGTTAAAGATGTCCCTTCAGAATTCGCTGGCCTTCGTCACCAAGCATTGTCCTATGCCTCGTATCTTGGAAACCTGCCAGAACAGGAGTTGGGTGAGAGCCGGCACCGCGTCTGCGCCGAGTCCGCATGCTGACAGTCTGGCCCAGTCAAAATCGAGAATGCCGCAGCTAAATACCTCACGGGATGGTCTTTGGGCAAGGAGCAACTCAAGGAGGGACAAGTAGACACATTCAAGGGCTCGTTTTATGCCAACTGCGCATTCTACACTGACCCATCACTCGACTGCGCCAAGCCCACACCCGAATTCAACCAGGAGAACTTCCCTGAATATGTCTCCCCGAATGTATGGCCCGGAGACGCAATCCTCCCAGGGTTCAAGCCCTCTGTTGAGAAGCTGTGCCGCCTGATGATCGACGTGGCCGTGCTTGTCGCGCGTGCCTGCGACCGATACGGCGAGCGCGAAATTGACGGTTACATCAAGGGGTACCTTGAACACGTTGTAGGCACAAGCAACACGACCAAGGCCAGATTGCTCCATTATTATCCCCAGGCAAAACTGCCAGAGGACGGGCAGGGCAACGAGGATGATTGGTGCGCCACCCACCTGGACCATGGCTGCCTTACGGCTTTGACCTCGGCCATGTTTGTCAACGAAGAGGAGACGTCGTCGACTGTTCCCGAGGGCGCCGTAGCGGGCGCGATTCTCCCTGCGCTGAAGGAGCTCGACGCAAGCCCCGACCCCAAAGCCGGGCTGTATATCAAGTCGAGGACGGGCGAGACGGTGCAGGTCAAGATTCCCCGGGATGCCATCGCCTTCCAAACAGGCGAGACTCTGGAGAGGATCACCAAGGGGAAGTTCAAGGCAGTTCCGCACTTCGTCCGGGGTGTGAGCCCTGCGGTAAGCAACGGGAAGATAGCCAGGAATACTCTGGCCGTGTTCACGCAGCCAAACTTGGGCGAGGTGGTGGATATGGAGCAGAACATCAATTTTGGCGAGTTTGCTCGGGGGGTGGTGACGAAGTATACTGTGAAGAACTGAATAGGGATTCTTTAGATGGCTCCTCTACCTAGACTTCACCCACCACCTTTCTCATAACCGTAATAAAGGATGAAATTCACGTCTTCAACATCGCGGGGATAGCTCTAATAAGAATCAGCAAAGAAATGGCCTTACAATATTCCTAGGAAGTGGCTGCTACGAGACAGTGTATTCCCCTCTAAGCCTTCTCCTCAATCTTCCTTCGGCCATGAAATACCCTGGCCAGAATGATAAGTAGCACACAACTCGCGTCCGCAAGTCCCGCCCATACTTGAGCGGCCCCATAGCTACCACTTGCTGCATTTTGTATTGCGCCCCCAATGGGCGGACCTGATAATGCTGCAAATGACATGACAGTGAAGCACATTCCCAGCCGTGCACCGATCATGTCCATGCGCTCACTTATGTATGCCACTCCAGAGGGGATGAGGCTCTGTATGCCTGCAGAGAACAGACCATAAAACGCCGTCCAGGCGAAGATACCGACGCGGTTGAAAATCCCCAGCCAGCTGAAAGCCACGGCAGTCAAACAGAGGCCTGTTGGGATGGAGGTGTTGAACGGCCCGAACCGATCTGCGAGCAACCCAACTATAATACGAGCGGGGATTCCGGTGCCGTTGATGATCATGATGAGATATGTGGCTTCGGTATACGAGATATGAAGAACCTGGATACCAAACGACCCAACCTGGAGGAAACAATCAGTATATACAGCCAAGGTTGCAAACGGTTGGTCAACCCACATAGTAGAAGGTGTAATACCTCGCCCAGCAGAAGAAGAAGAGCCCAAAGACATAAGCGACATAGACGCGGTTCCGAAACGCCGTAATGTCCACGACTGGCCCCTTTCGCTGCGGCTGCAACCTTGCTCGCAAGAAGCCCACCACCAAGCAGAATCCTGCCAGGTGGATGAATCCAATAGTGCGGGCCATCCAGCTGAAGCCGAGGTGCGCGAGAAGCCCCCGCACAATGGCAGGATAAATCACGCCCCCTAGAGAATTTCCCAGCGTGACGAACCCTAGTGCGAGGGAACGGCGGGAGGAGAAGTAGGTCAAGACTAGGGCGAGCGTCGGCGTGAAGATCAAGCCGTTTCCAAGGCCGGAGAGGATACCCTGCGTCAATACAAGTTGCCAATACTGAGTGGAAAGACTCATGAGGAAGATCCCCAGTAATTGTAGAATAGCACCGGCGACCAAAGCTACCGTCAGATACCCGGCATCTAGCAGCCATCCGGAAACAGCTCCGGTCGAGAAGGTAAGCCACGCCTGGAGGGAACCAATCCAGGAGATTGCAGCCTGATTTTGAGGCAGCACGGATATGTAGTAGGATTGAAACGCACCAAATGCATTGGCATACCCCCAGGTCAAGAAAACGGCCAGGCAGCCCACCGCGACTTGAGTCCAGGCACGTCGGCCGCCATCTGGTGCAGCTAGATTTTGGATCATCGTGTTGGTCTAGAGAGGACGTTGGAAATGAGTCGAGCTGTGAGTAATATATGTCTTGTAAGTTCAATGACAAGATCAACAGAACTAGAGTAAGATGGAGAACCGACAACCATCGGCAATGATCATGAACATTCTGAGGCAGAATAATTTGATTATGGTTCCCCTCACAGAATTGCCGTTCTGTGGTAAGAACCTTGATGGCTACATGTATCGACTAGGGCTGGCCTCTCATCAAGTTCCACTCATCGACCTAGCAAAAGACAAAGGGCAAAAAGAAATAAAGCTGCCCATGTTTATCGTAGTTCCCGATTAGCATTTGGATCCCTTCAAATCACTCAACGTTTTCCCTGGAATGTTGGCATCGGGCGGGCCGTTGGGCCTAATACATACTAACATATCTGCCACGTTTTGACACCGTTCTGACAGAAAGCCTGTTGCTACATTCTTTAATTGACCTTATAAAGTAACAGACGATACAATTGAGAAAGAGTTAACAAGGTACATCCTGCAACCTACGCCCTTTAGCTCTCTCGTCCTTGCGACTCTTCTCCCTTACGCTTCCCCACGCCTAGACGTCTTGTCCGTCCAGAGGTATGCTGTGCCAATCCTCTATCCAGCCATTTGGAGAGCTAGATTTGGATGGCCAGTTTTCACGGAAAATCTGCATCGCCCAACATGATGAACTCACCTCCGTGTCCCACTGCTCTTGGCCTGTCCACAACATGCCGTCTGCGTCCTTTATAAAGGTATGATCTGTTGCCAGATTTTGAATTATGGCGCCCATATCGTCTCCATATCTAGTACTTGCTTCTGTCGCGTTTGCAGACGACAGAAGGCGCAGCTCTCGAAGAACATGCGTGGTCCGCCCTCCAGTTATTGCTTTGAGAATCTCCCAGGCGAGATAGTGGTCCATCGCGCAAGTCCACAAGACTTCCTGCATGTTGGTGATTGCGTAATAGTGTTTATAGTTTGACATCAAATCCGGCGCCTCATATGTCTCCCGGCGGTTAAATAGTTCCGCGAAGCAGTCCATGTATAGCGTTACCGATCTCAGGCGCCTGAGCTCGCCCATCGCTTCGTATATGGCGGGATCGTCGGCGTTCTCGTATGTTCTCTGAACTGGTATATTCAGTTCCTCAAGTAAAGGGCACTGATCTAGTATGTTTAGAATTTGTGCTGTTTCCAGAGATTCGCAATCTCTTAAATTGCTGTCGAGCAACTTGCCAGATTCGTACTGATCCTCCGAAGAGATGGGGAACAAGGCCAATCTTTCGAGAGACTGACCATGGACACGAAGTGCTTGGGCGGGTATGTGTGGCCAAATGTACCCAGTAAGTTTGAGTGATTGCAAAGGTGGCAGGTTGGAGAGGATTTTGATGAGCCGTTCCTCGTCCTCAGTCTCGACTGCACCCGGGTCCTCACAATATAAGCTTAAAGACATTATTCTGAGGCGAGGGAAAATGCCGTGCACCTTAAGGGAATCGAGATCCGGCCCGGAGAAATTGATTTCGAGTCTTAACGACTCCAGGACGGTGAAATCGGTCATGTTGGCCCATTTGTCAAGTCGAATCGGGTATTGACACTGGCCCTTGAGAGTTAAAAATTTCAGCTGCCCCAACCTTCGCGGGAACGCTTGTTCCGTGAACATTTGATGGGGTGCATATGGTACTCCTTGGCTTTCCCAGTGTGCGTTTTCGTCTTCCTCGGATGAGAACAACGGCTCGTCGACCCTCCTGTTGAGCAGCCCAACTCCCCGTAACGAGGGTGCCATGCCGGCGATGATTGCCATTACCCGGCTTTTCAAATTGCATTTAGGTTGGTCGGCGCCAGAAGCGTCGGAATAAACGCAGCCGATACTGTCGAGGCACGGCGAAGTGATCAACTCCATATTCATGATGCTGTCGTTGTCAAGACAGTAGATACGAAGCCGGCACTTTGGGTGCTTCAACTCCAATTCTTGTAGCAATGCAGAAGGCAATGCGTCCGGGAATACAAAGTGCTTGAGTCCTGGCAGTCTGTCCAAGAGCTCGATCAGGATTTTAGTGGCGCAGTCTTCATCAGGCTCTACTTGAAGCTCGCCATTCTGAAAGACGTTCTTATCTGCTGAACCGTAGAAGGGGTCCAGATCGGCCAGGTCGAACTGCATGATTTCGTCCATGTCCTCAGGCCTGTCGTCCCACTTGGGATCCCACGTGCCAGCGACGACACGGCGAACAGAGGAGAAGGCATCATATCGCCACAGAAGCCATATACGGCGAGCTATCTGGTGATGAAATGTCAGGATCCCACAAGGCAGGCGTAGTGAAATGCATCGGTTTAGGTAGCGCATGGAGATGGCACGCAGTCGATGGTTTGTCAGAGACAGCGACTTGAGGCCGGAGCGCCCCGGCTCCCACATCAGCTCCTCCATGACCTCTCTAAGGCAGTCATATGGAATATCTTCAAACGTGATGGGTGCCATGGCAGCTGCACGATAAGAGCTTGTTGTTGGTGGGAAGTCAAGCAAGGTGCTGGGTGAATGTACGGGTTTGAAATGATTCTCGCTGAGGCTTCTTGGGAAAATTTAGTAATATTACGGCCTGCATATGCGGGGTTACATTATGCCAATATGAGAACTCCCTTTGGCCAGTTATTCACAGAGCCTTGTACGAGAGCTTACTCGTTATTTGAATTTATCTCCTCTGAATTGTAGCAGGCAGCCATTTTAAAGTGTGCAGATGGGCTCGGCTATTGCTTCTAAGCTATCTTTGTGTTCTTCACACGTGAAGTCTCTGCAATAAATATGGTGCGATTTACTTTACGCTCGGTGCTGTTACGAACAAATCTGAAACACTCTGATGTCGTTATGACGACATTAGGACGGTTGGGCTCAGGCTTTTCAGGCTCTGCCTTTCAGGTCTTACAACATAAGCCATCTTCCGTTCCTAACAAGTAGCCCAATGTAGAGGAGACGCAATTACGAGTGCCCAAAATATCAATCTCCACAGAACGTAGCCCAGCAGATGGCCGCAATCTTATGCTTGCAACAAGCTCCTCGGTTTAATTAGTTCTCCTGCATACGCCGGTCAAGGCGAGAGTGGCGGTGTAAGACTAGCTCATCCGGAGACCATATAGTCAATGAAGCCGCACGACCAAAACTTCACTCCCCAACTATTCAGATGACTTAGGTGCAGGTCAAGCCTGGCCTGGTTGTGGGAGGGTCGATGGTTCGCATTTGCAGCCATGAGGTGCAGGTCTGGAAAGAGGGATTTTGTTCATTTTCGCGGTTTGATAGAAGCTAGTGATGCCTAATGATAATTACCAGTACAATCCTGTAAGACAATACTCTTTTTAGGCCCATTAAATACGGTTATTTTCATTTCTTTGTTAGTTATATCACCAAGTTCACTTAAGGACGGAATTTGCATTAATAAGACGTAGTATCAATTGTGTACAATAACTCAAGGAATTGAGGATGCTGGCGGTAAGAGAGAGTTATTTTAGTTGTAGTAGACGAAGCACATTTTGCTTTCTGATGATGGAAGGTGTTATCGACTACCTTCGGATCGCCTCCGCCAGCTACTACATTGGACTCTGTCGCTAGTTCTTCTAGAATCTCGCGTCATGATTATACGGCCCCTTAAGAGCTCCATCTCGAGTTTTGAATTCAACAAACTACCTGTATCTACATAGCTTAGAGCTCTGATGAAGGACTAAAATCCCAGCAGAGGTGACCCTGGCATTTTTCATACAGAATGAGGCCAGCTAGTAGTGCTATGCATAGTATAATGAAAGAATGATGCATGTACTGGGCTCTTATAGCAAAGAGCTTCTCCTAGATTTCTGTAAACTGGCCTCTTTGTCACTCACAATCCTATCGAAACCACTTGAATCAAGAGATTCGGCTGATCAAATCGATTCGATGTGAAGGCTATTGAAGATTGTTACGCCTTCTGATGGTGATTGTAAGTGTATAGATTGAGATATATTACCTGGATGTATTTTCGAATAATCATTTTCTTTCTACGAAGCACCAACAGCTATGTGGGGAGTTGGCTTGTTTCAACCCAACCCAAAAGCAGAATTCATCATAATTTCATCAATCTGGGATTGCACGCCATATAATGGTCAACGAGTATTTGTTCAATATTACGTGTCAATAGCTTTGGGGGATAATATTTGAATCCTCGTTCGATGCATTCTGGTAGAGATTTGACATCTGAGAAGAGCTCTGATAAGCAAAGGAGAGGATCTCAGCCCACAAGTCTCTCGCAAAATTTCTAAATGCTAAGCGACATGTTTTTGTTCATATATTTATGATCGAGACTGAATGCCAATTGATGACAAATATTGAATCGACAACGGAGGGGCCACCTCTTGTTTGAGCAACCCGGCGATATTTGTAAGCCTGACGGTTCTGATGCAGGGCTTCAAGTAGGCCTCACTTAATCTACATGGCCCAGGGGTATTTCTTCGCTAAGAGCAGAGATCGGCGATCGCAGGGGTTGTCAGACAACTTGATGCGGAAGTAGGAGAGCCTCTACGGGCGAAAATGGTCACTCTCCCGCGGACCTTTCGTTGGAATCATGTGATCATAAAATGAAGGATGACGAAATCTGTCAGAATCCTGAGCGATAACACCCACGAGATGGTGGCAATAAGAAGACAATGTCACTTGCTCCGTAAATCTGGGACAGGGTCTGTAAGAAGACCGGCACTGCCCGGCTGCCTAGCAAGGATTTTCAGGGTTTTTACTGGCAACATGGGTTTGAAGCGTAATTTTACTGCTCCTCGTACATCTCAGGCTCAGCGGCTTGAAATCCTTTTCTGGTCATCGAGCCGGTGGCAACACTAGTTGATTGATAAGAAAAACTGTCTAAATTCCCGCGTATGCTTAATCAAGTAGTCCGGGAAGCTAGCTGTCATCGCTCGGGAAGAATGGATCAGGGGCAAGAGAAAATACCGCATGTCAAGCAAATCTACCTGAGCTCCAAGTTTGTCTCTCAAATCCAATAGTTCACACTCTTTTGACATCTCTCAGAGATCTAACGGCCTCATCCAACACGGTAAATTGGATGTACAGAGTCAAGAAGCACCTCGTTCTATCGAAGGAGGCAGTGTTCTGTGATGATTCATTGACATCCCTAACTGGGGATAGCTGCAAATCATTCTTTCCAGGGATGTTTGAACCATGCTTGCCATGTTTAGTGATCCTTCACGTAATCAGGCCCATGATATGTCACTCATGCAGTCTCGATCGTAGGTGACACCCTAAGGGTATCCTCCCCTTGCGCATTTGTTTATTAGATTGCAAATGGGACTAAAAGTGGCGATAATAGTGGGCGAGCCCCTGTGAAGGGTTTCGCTGGTGGGTGCGGAGTCTGTTATGTGAGCATAAATAAGCCATATTCCCTGATGATAACCCTGAAGCAGCCCGCGAGCAGCGGAGCACGGTCCAATTGGTGACGAAACAGTGGCCCAAACAACGGTAGTTGTCCGGTTCTTACTGTGGGTAGTTGTTCGTTTCACCAATGTGGTAGAGGTGTATGTGCGGCTTCTCAAGACCGAGCTAAGCTTCATGCCAATATGATCCCAGCACCTGGTTGGCATCTGGATTGACGATCCCAGCTGCCTAATTAGGTTGCCGCGCGGGCGCTCTGACTCCCGTGAATGACATTTGCTGTGTCGAGTTGTTTCGTCGTCAGGCAATACGCTTAGTTTTACGCTTTCCCTCCAATACCGGATGAAATTCAAGCTTGTCGTCGGAGCCGAAGCGGATCGTGGCCGGGATCACCCTGGCCGCTGCCTTGTCTCGGCTCGTGGTTCGAAGCATGTTTCTGCTTCTAGGTGATTTCCAAAAGCTTAACGTTGTTTCTTGCTGGGATGAGCGGCCGCTGAGCTTCTTTTCATACTAGAAGACATGTCCCTTGTTTCGGTACCGGGATGAGCAACAGTCGAGCCTATAAAGCCGACTGTTTATCTCCTAGTGTGTGCTCAAGGGCCTCCACACAGTCTCTGCATTCATTCTCGCCTCAGTCATTCTTTCGATTAAACGGGACTAGATTTTCCTGCGAGGTGATCTCAAGCTGCCATCATGAAGTGCCAAGTCCTTTCAGGTGCAGCCCTCTTGGCTACCGGAGCTATGGCTGCGCGCCCTTTCCTAAACGAACCCGATACTGGCATCGACCTCGTGCTTGGCAATATTGGGATAGGCGTTCTTCCAGACCTTGAGGACATGATTGGCCTGCCTGACTTTGACTGGGCTGCTCGCAACTATCTGCCCACTGCGAACTACACCTACTACCGGAACGGTGCCGCCGGCGAGTGGTCGTACCGCAACAACCTCGAGATCTACCACAAGTTCCATATCCGTTACCGAACCATGGTTGACATCACTGGTATTGAGAACACTCTGCCGTATGTCGTAGATCTTTTCAAGTGAAGACTCGGGGTATTTGGCGATGCTAACATGAGAATAGTACAACCATTCTGGGCCACAACTTCTCAGCCCCTTTCTTCATCGCCCCGGCTGCCGCTGCCGTTCGAGGCCACCCCGATGCTGAGCTTGGTCTCGTCAAAGGTGCTGGAGCTGAGAATATTCTCTACATCGTGAGTAGTGGAGACACACTATCCTTTTGAAAATCATCTTCTGACACGCGTCGTGGTTATAGCCCTCGCACTACGCCAGCAAGAGCATTGAGGAGATTGGTGCCGCCAAGAAGGAGGGGCAGGTCATCTTCCAACAAGTCTACCTTGACTCAAACGACACAAAGACCCAGCAGGAGTTTGACCGTATCAAGGCTGCTGGCTCCAAGGCGATTGTGTTTACCGTTGATTCAGCTGCTGATGGCAACCGTCACCGTGCTGCCCGTTTTGGTGTCGGCTCCGCTGACTCCGACTACACACTCATCACCTGGGACTACTACCACAAGATCCAGAACATGACTGATCTCCCTATTATCATCAAGGGTCTTGGTACCGTTGACGATGTCAAGCTGGCTATCGAGCACAAGGTGCCTGCCGTCTACCTTTCCAACCATGGTGGTCGCCAGCTCGACACTGCTCAATCTACCCTCGAGACTGCCCTAGAGATCTTCCGAGAGGACCCTGAGATCTTCAACAAGATTGATATCTTTGCCGACGGTGGCGTCCGATACGGCGCTGATGCTTTGAAGCTGCTTGCCCTTGGTGTCAAAGCTGTTGGTCTTGGCAGGCCGTTCATGTATGCCAATGTTTACGGCCAGGAGGGCGTTGAGAAGGCTGCCAAGATTCTCAAGCACGAGCTCGCTATTGATGCTGGTAACGCCGGTGTTCCTGACTTGAAGAAAGTTGACCACACCTATGTGAGTACATCTATGATCATGAAAATATCAAGTATGACAGTGCTAACAAAGATACTTTTGTAGGTGAACTGGAACTCTAACTGCTACTACAGCGGTTAAATATGTCCAGGGAGGGACTTGAATATGGGCAAGTGTATAT